TGTTTTACAAATAAAGTTTGAGTTTATTTAAACAGAAACATGAACCTGGTTTTTATGGGAATAGTTTTCCCAAACATTCTCCTCACTCAGACATTGGTGTCCTTGTAGCTCTGAGGCCTGAATCAGTGAAACTCAACCCTGAGAATCCATCATATATAGAAGGACATTAATAGGAGATGGATTTATTATCAGTCTGTGGGGAAACTGCTGCGCCTCTGGAACGGCATGAAGAGGCTCTGATAAAGTTATAAACGTCTGTTTTCTACTTCCTCAGGTAGTGTGGTGGTTTCAGTTTGCTGTTTGTGCAAAGGGAAGCAACACGGAGTATAAATGCTGCAGACGCTGTGACTGGAATGTCTGGAATGAGCCCGTTAATCTGACTGGATGATCTGTTTGATCTGGATCTATAGGGTGACCTGAGATGACAGGCAATGAATTGGATCTATAGAAATAAACATTGAACTTAATTCTCCAGCATGATGGAGTGAGTCATGACCGTCTCTCTGGGGGGTCCAGTCTAAACCTGCTCATGCAGGACGGACAGAGGGGCGGAGGGACAGAGGGACGGAGGGACAGAGGGGTGGAGGGACAGAGGGACGGATGTGATGCTGGTTCTTTGGTAACAGATGATCGCTTGCGAGGCGGTGTTTAGAGTTAAAATAGGATGCGGTCTTTTTGAGTCATGGTTAAGAAAGTAAAGATGTTTGTGGCGACATACCTTCTAACATTGTTAGTAATAACAGCTGTGAGCTCTGAGACTGATGCTGAACCACACAGCACTCCAGGTCTACTTTGTTGTTGTTGTCAAACTAAGCAATTAAGATTTCTTTATTTCATTTGAGTGACAACCTAAGCAATGGCTACTTGGTAACCAGTTTTGTAATTACTAGGAAATATGTGAGATACTTTAAAGTCTAGAATCTGGTACGAAGAACTTCACACTACCTTCCTCCTTTAATGCAAAGCACCTTATCAGCAAACCAATCTAGCATGATCTATCTCAGTATGGAAAGCACCTTAGATCATCAGCCTACCTGCACTATGCCGTCCTCTTCACTGTCTGTTATGTCATCTGTGGGTATTGCATCGTGTTTCTTCTGAAACTGTTTATTATTTTTATAATTTTTTGTGTCTTTTGTCCTTCTTACATCTATGTTTCATCTATGGTTTGTATTTCTTGTTACACGTTTCGTACGTTTCTCCTCGTATCTGCTGCCTCTATCCTACAGGACTATGGATGGAAACTAGCTGTGAGCTAAATCCTAGTGTATTTACAGCTGCTGCTGTTCACTAATACACGCTTTCACCTTCAGATAGATAAATATTTTCAGTGTTTTATGGGGGATGGAGTCTAGTCGTTAGAGCAGTGAGCTTATACTCTGAGAAGGTTAAAATTACCCGCTTCAGTCTCCACTGCCGGCACTCTGGGTTCCTGAGTGAGAACCTTAGCCCCGCACAATGGCAGCCCACTGCTTCCCAAGGTGATGGCTTATATGGAGCCTAGGCGGAAGTTCAACTGAATAAACTGATTATTCTCTTTCATCCACCTATCAGCCAATCAGCTTTGACCCACACCTCCAGGAAATCCAATCAGCCATTCATCTTAAAAGGCCTCCG